AATTCAAGTATAGTCCAACGTGAAAGTTGGAATCTAACTTACCATCATATATTTGGAACCTCGGCATACTGAATCTCTTTGGTGCTTCAAATTTGTCTAGTTCCGCCGAGAATGGTGTCTTCGGCTTAACCGGGGAAGTTACCTCGGCTTCAGCATTCTGTTGCTTCCATTTGAGGTAATCTCTTAAGTCTTCTTTACTCCTCCCTGGAGCTCGGCTATCTTTGGACTTCAATCTTTTCGGCACACTACTTTCAGCCTCGTGGTGGGCCCGTTTTGATCTTTCTCCATGGGTTGTGTCAAAGTAGAGAGCCTGCCATTGAACATGCTGATGTTCTTTGGGCTCCGGGTCCTTCGTGTGATACGTCCTGCGAGACTCCTCTCGTCTCGGCTCCTCTCGTCTGATTTTCCTGGAAGGTCGGTGAGAGTACCTTCCGCTCCTGGTGTGCTGAGAGGCTTCGGGGATTGTTTTCCTTCCTCCCTTCTGGGTATTAGTTGCTGGAATCGGCGTGTCGTGCAGTGGGTATGGTGGCTGTATGACATTGTTTTGCATCATGAAGTTGACGACCGACTGCAGGTCTGCCAACTTGTTTGCCAATTCTTTTACTTCTTCATCCCTCCGCAGGCACCTATCCTTCCATACCTAGAGATTATCTTCGTTATAGTACTTGTTTTGGTCTGTCTTCTTCGAAGTGTCGCCCTCCTGGCCGACGTCTTTCTCTCCATGGCCCTGGTCACGAGTTTCTACATTGTTGTTGTCTCCTTCAATATCAAGGTTGATAGGTCTGTCACTCCCAGCAGGAGTGTCGTCCCCAATCTTTTCCTTATGTCCGTTACTGGCCATCTATTCTTCTAATTTCTCACAGACGGCGCCAAATTGTGTGAGTAATTTTCTAGCCACACTGCCCGTTTAGTAATCAGCTAGAGAGTATCGGCAGAATAGATGGCTTCAGTTAACCTATAACAGAAAGAAAAGGCTCCGGCGGTGGCTCTTCCACCCGGGGGCACTCCGACGATCAAGTCAGTATATCTCTCAAAGATAATCAAGTGCTAAACTCACTACTCAAAGCATAAATTGCGTATCTTAGACCCACAGAGGTGTCTCTCTTTTATAGTTTACTTAATCCTAGTCCCATTAGAAGCCTGACCTTCTATAAACTCCAATTCAGTACTTATCTTGGACTCTTCAAGAGATAAAGATAAACTCTCCAAGAGCTTTATCCTTATCTTGGCTAAATCTCCTTTTTATTCTAGGACTCTTGTCCCTCATCCATTTATCTTGGATACCGATATCTTCGGAGATAACCTCGGCAACACCGAGATAACCTCGGCGTTATGACCCTGACATGTGACACCTCGGCTGATACATCGACGTCACCTTATCACGTATTGATACTCAAAAATATATCCTTACAAAATTATTTTAAGATAATTATAATATTTTTTTTAATTTATAAAATTCCATACACAACACGGTTACCACTAAGGCCAAGTTTGGGAAGACTAAAAAAGTGCACTTTTTGTCTTTTTGGACTAAAAAATTGAGGTTGAAAATATGGATGTTTGGGTTAACTTTTTGACTTTTTATTGAAAAATGTGTAATAAAAAATTGTAAAAATTGATTTATAGAGAAAAATTTGAATTGGGAGTTGTGCAGCCGTAATTGTTGACTTTTGATGAATAGTGTTAACTTTTTAGCTTTTTGAGTAACTTTTTGACTTTTTGACTTATTTGAGACTTCCCAAACTTAGCCTAATATTATATATAATACAATCACACTCATGGAGCTAGTTTTTATGGACCAAGCCTTATGGTGTTCGTCCAATAAGAAATGTGTTAATTGTTACCATAATATTACTTCTCCTTGTTTTCAGGCTTTGGGGTTTTTTAATTTTTAAATTTTTGTTTTGGAAAAGTAAAAAAGAGGAGAGAAAGAGGCCATTTTAGAGGGTGGTGTGGATCACAGCTAGGAACAAAAAAGGATCAATTAGTAAGATTAGGTTCACAGCAATCGAGGTTGTGTTTTTTTTTTTTCTTTTTTTGGATCATATACTCATTATTATTCAAAGTGTCAAAAGTTGTTTGCTGGACTTAAAGTTTAGGCCACTCTTTGCTTTTTCTCTATAATGACTCCAATCAATGTAGGCTACTAAAGCTTTAAAAACCAATTTAGTAACACTCACTCTACGAACTCACTCTGTTTCACATTCGCATATTTGATGACTTGGCCTAGTCAATGGCTTGGAGCCCAATGGATGTGAGAGCATTGGGAATTCAAATCTTGAGTTTAAAATGTATTAGTTTCAATAAGTTCTTATTTTATCATATGTTATTTGTTATAGGTTTACTCGCCCAGTTGCTTAGTGGTTTTTTTTTTTTTTTTTCGTACTTTTTAAAATAGGTTAGATATATATTATGTATTTTGATCATAAAAAAAAACTTTATCTAATAGAGATATCAGACGTTTTTTTACCAAATGTGATAATTAGAATATTATTGATGCGCTATCTTACACTTCTTTATAATTTTTGATAACATAATTTAACCATTCCTTTGGGGACATGCATTTGGGAGGGGGAGAAAATTTAATAGAATTTTAGATGCAAGTAGGAGAATGTTGGGTAGCCATTTTCCTCATTCATTAATGTTGGTCATAATGTTGAGTTCTCGAATATTGGCTCATTTTATCTTTCTGGTTTATTTTTTATCTGTTTTGAAAAAAATTCTACTTTGGGTTCATTTTTTTCTTACTTTTTAGATTTATCTTAACTAGATTATTCTTAAAAAAAATTAAATTTTAAAATTTTGGAAAAAAAAAAGGATCAATAAAAAAGAAAACAAGTCAAATTTTATTTTATTTTTAAATTTGCAAAACTTGGCTCATTTATGTATATTTTAGAGTTTTAATTTTAAAATTTTTAAGATTGTCTAGTCCAAAAATATCTAAAAAGTAAAGAAATTTAACATGATTTAAAAAAAAAAAATTCTAAAATTAATAAATCAAACTAAAAGTAAAAAAAAACAACTCTTACTTAACATGCATCTAACTAATGTATTAGTTTTTTACTCGTGGGATAAGCCAAAAATGAAAAGCAAAGTACAATGTCAATTTTATTGGAACTCTAATAAGAGTTAGTGAGGTCAATTTTTTTATTAAAGCACTAGTGAGTGTTTAAAGTAGTCTTACATAGATTTTTGTTGAGAGATTGCAAATCAAAAAGAAATTGGGAGGGGGAGGTAGAAGAAGATTTCCCTCTTAACATGGTGTAAGCAATATATAGCCATGGTTCATGCCTCATCGGTTTAATTCTACTACTTTGATATTGCATTTAATTCCACTACTACCCTTTAAAAATTACAAAAACTTATCATTAACATCTTAGTGGCACGAGTTTGATTTGCAATTTTTTTTTTCTCAAAAATGAAGGTAAAATTATACACAATTTGATTTTCTTAAACCTAGCATTAACAGAAGTCTTATGTATTGCATTATCCTTTTTTTAATTAAGACTACGTTTTCTAATTCTTGTCCAAATTTCGAACCAAATCAATAGGCATATTACCAATAATTTTTACAAAATCACAAACGAGATGAATACTTAAATAAATAATGACTATACCTTCCCCTCAAATATTTTATGTTAAAATTTTCTTTTTGTGGAACCTATTGAATTTAAATTTATCAAACAAGATGCGACTTGAAAGAGAAGTTTAGAATCATGATCATTCAATTATCAATTATTTGGACTTGGACCATTTGAGTACTAAAACATGTTCCCATATGCTATTTATGTTTATTAAGAGATGTTTTGAGTCTTATTTATATTTATTAATGAGAAACGTATTGAAAATTAATAAATTTTACATATTTCTCTTACTCACAGGTGTTGAAATTTTATTGTTTGAAATAGAACTTGTGAGAATAATATCAAAGGACAACTCAACGGCCACATTTGCTAGCATATATATATATATATTTAATTTACTAATTTGTATAACATTACTTTTTGTTTATAAGATTAATGGTTGTAATCATAACATCCACTCATACATTTGAGTCCCACAATATAGAGAGGAAAAAAGAAAAAAAAAACTCTGAGTAGAGCCAAAATACTTGTGTATTAATCATTATCCTCATTAGTAGTATTATTTTAGTAGAACATCATCTGCAGATTAGTGCAATTAAGATTAGTGCTAAAAGAATGACTAAAAAAAGCACATGATATGATGAAAAGGTCTAGTTTATCAACAATATATAGTCATTTAGTATAAAATTTCTAAAATATTTAGAAAAAATTAATGGAGTATATGAATGATGAAATCTCAACCACCATGAACCCTTTACAAAATGGCTAAAAACATATCAAATAATTCTAGAAAAAAAAAAAAATTGTACATAAATATTCATCGCTTTTCTCAATCTATAGTTATTTACTTGAAGTAAGTTGTTCCATTGAACATGTTGTTATGATTGTTACAAGTATTGTTATCTAAATTCTCAAATGAATGAAATGAACTAAATATCTATTATCTATTACTATTCTATTTCCCAGATGGAAAATCAATGCTAAAACACCACATTTGTCCTTTTGAAGATTAGGGTATTTTGGAGATTTGCATGGCATATGAAGAAATTGCAGTAGTGTTTCTATTTCAAGAAGCATGGACGTCCTCCCTCTCTCTCTCTCTCTCTCTATCACACACACACACACACACACACAATAGGTAATAACAAAGCACAATGGGATTCTAACCCCATCACTAAATATATATTATCCATTGGTAATCTCTCTCTCTCTCTCACAATAGCACTGGCCTTTTTTTAGCATAACCCTATCAATAGATATTGACAAAGAACTGTTATATTGGAGATAGTGCTTGACATTAAGCTATGTGGACAAGTTTCTCAACAGATATTTACACTTCAACAGGTTTGGAAAGTTCATCTCACATAACAATGATCTCCTTCAAAAGTTTCAAATGGGCAAATATTGAAAAGGAAATTATCAAAATTATTCAATCTTAATTCACATCCGAGTGTTAAAAAACTGCTAAACAATATAAATGTTGTTGGAAAAAAGAAAAGAAATGAAACAATATCATTTCAATTTCAATGTGTTTGCCAATCACCCCAAATCCAATAGAGTTAGGAACAAGGCATTGTTAGCTAGATAAGCTCATAGGTTATGCGTTGGTGAGCTTACTTGCAGAAATTAACACATCAAAGAATAATAACATAATTAGAAATACAAGCCTACAATCTTCCATGCCAAACAGCCATCTCGAGCAGAGAGAAGGTTGCAAGGAAGAACAAGTACCAATTAGTGAAATTTCCTTTCCCTCTTCAATTGCTTGTCACTTTATCTCTCCCTTAATTTCTTCCTCTTTTGCCACGTTTACAGCTTCAAAAGTTCAGGCAGGCCTCTGACGAGCAAAACCTGGCTGAATGATGTAATTAGTGAAGTGTGGTCCAAACATGAACACAAACCAGAAACATGGATATGCAAGCTGCATCGGTCGTAGAACAACTCAAGAACATACTTTAAATAGAGGGAGATAGAGAGGTTCGAGAAAGTTTCCAAGTTGAAAGAAAAAAAGTTTTAATGGGCACGGCACCTCTAATCTTTCCCTTTTCGAGTTGTGATTCATACACGTACAAACACATATGTATATATTTCAGACTTTTCACAGCATGCAAGGATGGACCTAGGGGGTGGCAAGTAGGGTGATCGCCTCCCTTACAATTTCAAAAAACCCTTTTGATATACTAGTATTAGCTATCAAATAACTAAAAAGCATATAAGCTCGCCACACATAGGTTTTTTAGAAAAATTAAGCGGTAGCCTCCTCTAAATCCATGAAATATGTGAATCAAAGTGTAATTTTAAAAACTTGGACAAATAAGAAAGTTTACAATTTATCCTCTTATTAATATATTGACTTGTCTTATATGACTATCAATTACAACAGAACGTACATTTTTAGCCATGAAAATTGTGAAAACTAGACTATGCAATTGTGTTGTTCAAGACACCTACAAAAAATATGCTTATTTTTTCATGTTTTGATTTTTTTTTTCTTCACTTTTTATGCCAATAGAAAATTATGCTAAAATTCATTTTTTCCAAATTTTTTTGTTAATATATGTGTTCGCCATCTTGAGTCCATCCTTTTATGCATGAGTACGTGCATGAATCTTTACTCCACAATTTCCAAAAACAAAAAAGAAGTTGAGAGGGAAAATAATACCACTGTACCTGAAGAAGCATGGAAGGAGCTGCTGCATGTTCATAATTGACATGGCTTCTAGTTTTCCTTCCATCCAATGTGACAACTGATGGGCTATTAGCTGGTGTTAAGTCCCAAAAACTACGTTTCTTTGCTGTTGGCGCTGGAGATAGAAACCGATGACTCGGACTCTTCAACTCGCCCTCAGTTTGCTTCTTTGGCCGCAAGCTCGCCCTTGTGACAACCCTCTTCACTTCTGTCGCTGGTTTTGCCCCTTTTTGAGAAATTTCATGAATCAAATCATCCTTCTTCTTTATCTGCAATGCATGATCCTTTCTCATTCTCTCAATTTCCGCCTCCAATGCCTTCACAGTCCCACGAAGCTCCTTAACTCTCTCCTCCGCCCCCTTTTTCCTTGATTCTGGTGTGAAACAAGTCCCGGCCAAGAAAGTTGTTCTGGTTTTTCGCTTTTCATTTGGTTGGGTGGAAGAAGGGGGAGGAGAAAGGTGAGAGGTGAGTGTAGAAGGGGCTGGTGAGGCATTTGCTGCCAAGGATTGTGCTTGGAAAGTTAGTAGCTTCTGTTGCTGGTGCGCCAATTGAACTCGTAATTCGCGATTCTCTTTCTGTAACTCGAGCAATAGCTTGGCCTGATCTGTTTCAGATTCGGGTACTTGCTGGATTTCCTCATTCGCATCACATGTCTGTAATTGTATAAGATGCAAGTGCTGAATTAATGAAATGGAAACTTCAACAGAAGTTCGAAAATTTTAGAAGTGAAGGAGGAAACAATATTATTAAAAAAGAAGGAATGGTGTTGGGCTATGTTATATGGACTCGAGTACGAGTGTCAAGTGTAAGATCTTCATAAACCTAAACCTTAGGATATTGGGATATAAATCTAAAAGTTAGATATGGGTACGGGAATGTGTCATGATATTATATAAATAAACAAAAAGATGTCGCAAATTATGTAGAACTGTACTTCAAATTAAATAGAATTTAAGGTAAATATAAAATTTCCATCTTTCATACATGTAAGAGGCTAGAAATGTTTGTTTTACTAACAAATATGAGTTTCTTTTTATTCAAATATCATAAAAAAAATTAGAAGATCCAAGTGTCTAAATGGGGAACGAGTGTCAAGACACATATCACACACCCCTACTCTTGTCAATGTAACACACGTGTATGGATAAGAGTTCAAAGGCAATGCATACTACAAGGGGGAATGCAAATGCTGCAATGGCAATAATGCATAAGTTTTGAAAGCACAAGAACAAGAAGAGTTTAGAGGATAAACCTTGGTCCGGATCTCCTTGGCTCGGTCAGCCCAATGAAGGGTGTTTTGAGTTTCACCAAATGAGAGATTGCTTGGACTGATATTGGCAATCATCACTGTGTTACAAGCTCCCCCTAGAGAGTCCTTGAGCAGTTGGGTGAGCTTGGAATTGCGGTAAGGGATGTGTTTCTTGCCCTCGACAAGGGCATTGATGCAACTGCTCAGTGCAAGGAGTGATCGGTTAATGTTAGCACCCTCAAGTGATCTAAGTGTTCTCTGATCAGTAGCAAGAGCTCTCTCCGAGCCTGCAAGATCAATAAGCGACAGCTTCCCCACCCGGTTGACAACATTATTTGATGCATCTTTAACTCGGTATTCAACCACAACCTAATTTTAACATAACAAACCATTAAGAAAATAAAAATTTAGAATAGCGGAGGCATTGAATCGACTAAGTGAGAGAAAGAAAGTTTCTTTTTATGAGTTGTTCATTTCAAATATGACCTTCAAATAAATCATATGTTGCTCAAACCAATAAATAGAGTTAAGGTTATAGTTAAGGGCATTAGTAAAAAAAACCAAAAGTAATAAGAAACTAAGATGGTCTTTCCAACTACCTGCAGAATAGCATGGGAACGTGAAGAAGTTTCATTGACACGAGTTGGTTCAGTGGTTCGATTTTGATTTCCATGTTGAAGCAATGCCATAACCTGTCACGATTTAAACAAAAACCAAACAGTTAAATCTTTTTATCAGCGAATATGACTGTAACCTTACACAGGCCATACAGAACGAAATTAGGAAAATTACTTCATCCGTGGAATAAGCTCTGTATTGAGTAAGACCCGCTGCCACAATCCCCTGAGATATTCAAGCCATTTTCTCTCAGTTATCGTTCAAATTTTTTAAAATTTGGCTTAATTTGTTGATTCAAAAATAAACTTGAAAAGCAACAAAGGCAGAATGTTTAAAAGTTGTGTTTAGATCAGAAATTTGGGTAGGGATTTGGAAATGGCAACATTTACCTTTTTCTTGCCCTTTCCAAATCCCTACTCAAATCCATAATCCAAACACAGTCCAAGAGAAAATAGCCTATTGCACAAAATCAATAGAGGAATCATTATAAGAATTGATGTTGCACAATGTTGAAGCAGACCTGTTTATCTTCTCTAAGGACTAGTGGCCTTCCTGGAGAAAGCAAATCTCTGACAGTTTCATTGTAGACTTCAAGATAGGATAGATGAACTACGTGGTTTCCATCACAGCTCCGTTGCCTAATCTTGTTGAAAAGATCCTTAATTGCCAAAACCATCACCCCTGGATTCTCCACCGTACCCAACATAGTGTACGTTTTTCCAGCTCCTGTGGCACCATAGCAGAATACCGATCCATTCCTACCCTGTAAAACCGCTTCCACAAGTTCTGCAGTTCTGGAAAATCATTTTGCACAGATATGTTGAAATTTTCCTTGACAATCAAATAATGAGCTACTTACTACGGCTCAGAGAAAGGGAAAAAAAAAAAAAAAAAAAAAAAAAAAAACAGAAATAACTTTAGAAACCAATAATGAATTTGAATTGTCTATATTTATTAAAGATAGAATATCTTGAAGCAAAAGTTTTATACAGAAAGCTCATATTTTCTTCTAACAATTTAAAGATTTAGCAGAGAATTTGGTCCCATTAGGGTTGTGCAACATCAAATTTGTCTTTAGGGGAAAATCAATATAAGCAACAAACTTTCTCTTGGAGATGAGTTATATACAAGCAACAATGAACAAGTACCCACTAAATTAAAAGGGAAGTTTTATAGAATGGCTGTTAAACCAGAGATGTTGTATGGAACAGAATAATTGGGCTACTAAAAAATAACATGTAGATAAGATGAATGTAGTTGGGATGAGGATGCTAAGGTGGATGCCGGGCAAGATTAGAAAAGACAGAGTTAAGAATGAGTATATTCGAGAATGAGTAGGAGTAGTACAGATAGAAAATAAGTTGAGAGAGAATAGATTGAGATGGTTTGGTCATATATAACGGATACCAACAGAGACAGTAGTGAAGATATGCGATACAATGACGGTAGATAGTAGTATCGGGGGAAGGGATAGACCTAGATTGATGTGGACTAGCGTAGTAAATAGAGATATTAATGTCTTTAACTTGACTAAAGAAATAGCCTTAGATAGAGTCGAATAGAGAAGAATGATTCATACAGCCGATCCCATTTGACGGGAGTTAAGGCTTGGTTTGATTTGGTTTGGTTTGGGTTATATACAAGCATGGGCTATTGATTAATCCAAAACACATAGGTTGTTTTAGATCATGGGATTGGACTATTTATACTAATCAATCGTGAATCACATGTTTGGATACACTAGTGGATATTTGGATTGACAATCCTTCCGAACGAAATATCTCCCATATGGGGAAATTGTACATCTCACACATGGAGGAAAATTGAGTCCCATCATCCCGGGTGTAGGATACAAAATGGGGATTAAGCGAGGTTCGGGGATTCCAAACAAACATGAGATAGGATAAGATTGTGTAATTTCAGAATTATTAATCCCAAGCCTAATAGTCTCTCATGTAAGCTAGTCCAAGGAAACAAACATTGCGATAGAGTCTCAGTAAGTGACAGACACAACTTGAAAGCTAGTAGTACAAAAATGATAAGTAACAACATTAGCACCAAAGATTATGTAAAGCACAATCTTTCCTCAAGGCTATGTTTGGATCATGGATTAGTAGCTATACTTCATTCACATTTTATCCACCTTGTTTCCTTTCTTTTTCAAATCCCTACCCAAATCATGATCCAAACACATCCTAAAAATCAAAACTTAACTGTAGCAAAGACTAGTGAAATTATACTGTAATTGGACTCAGTTTATGTATATCCAGAACAAAATTAAAAGATCAACGGAAAAAAATTTCAAACTCACGTGGTTGAATAAACCTCCTGTTGAGAAGTTGAGTCCGGGAACGAGGCATCGAAGGTGAAATGTCGTCCGCGAAGTCTTTTCAGCCGGAGATAATCGTTCTCTGTGGCGAATTCAGTCAGATAAAGGTCTCTCTTGTTCACAATTCTCACACAACACCTTGATCCAACTTCTCTCTCCCTCTTCCCCATTGGCCTAAGCCTCACAAACACGAGAATTCGACTCCCAATTGTGCTCTGTCTCTCCAAATTGCTCTGTTTCTCTTCAACATTCTCCAATTCTTGCACATTCTTGGACCCCATTGAGAGCTTCCTCGCCACTGTTGTCGAAACAACCGCCGCCTTTCTCGGGCACGAAAACCCAACAATCCGATCGACGCCACAGCCCGCCGCCGCCACCACATCGTTCTCTTTGGCATTATCAATTGGAGGCTGAGGCAAAACATAAGTTCTTGTGACTGTAGAGTGATTAGGAATTGTGTTCTCTCTCATCACATGGTTCTGTTTAGATTCTATTTCCTCTTTTCTCTCTCCTCTCTTGCCGGGACCGAGAAGGTCAACACTCGGATGAGTCGAAAGCCGGCGATCCTCGGACCTCGGCGGCTGCGGCGGGGGGTTCTTGAGAGCTGCAGAGGCTCGTTTTTGCTGCTCATACAAGAGGGTCAGAGCCTTCATTTTCTCTTTCAAGCCATGGTGTGGGTTTCTCATAGGGAAACCCATGTGGGTAGTCTCTTCTTGATCTGTCCTCAATCTGGCTCTAGAGTCTTGATTTTGCTCATTCAGTTCTGGGTTTGTGATCTGAGACCTAGTTGACACAGGCATTCTAATTCAAATCTCACTGTCCAAGCATGCCCCTGTGGTGGTTTTCTTGAAAACCCAGTTTCTGGAACCGATTGAATTGCAGTAAAGTTCAAATTTTTTCCCGGAAAATGCAAGAATCTTGCAGGAAATACAATAAAACAGAGTGTTATAGTATGGAAGAGGCTTGAACAGACTGGGAAAGTGAAGAGGAGAGAGGGAAAGAAAGAAAGATTGTGTATGATTTGGGGGTTTTCTTTGGGATGGATTTGAGCCGTTGATTTGAGGGAAATGGACGGTTGGGTAGTAAAGCGGGGAAGGCAAGTATTTGAATGGAATTGATATGAGCACTCTATTTTCTGCTCTTTGTACTCCACCCAAAGCATCAATGTGTTTGATGGATCTTTTCACCAAAAAAAACAGTCAAAAAGTCAACAAAACTATATAAAAAAGTCAAAAAAAAATTATTTTTAACTTTTTTTTTTCATTTTTTTTTGTTAAGAGCCAAAAAAAAATTGTCCCAAATATACTACTTTTTAACTCATATTTTAACAAAAAAATAAAAAATTACTAAAATAACAATAACATATTCTCAAATAAGACTTAAAAGTTAAAAATTAAAAATAAAAGTTTAAGGCTTCTCACAATATTAGATGATCAGTTTTTTTTTTTTGGATTGTGCTTATCTGCCCCAATGGGTCCCGTTTAGAAATTTTGAATTGTTTATTTATAGTATTATAAATGTATATCCTTCACAAAAAATTTAGATTGATCTAATAATCGTAATATTTTTATTTTGTGCTTTTGTCTCTGAAAAATAAATGACAACAATTTTTTAAAAATAGACCATCAATTTTTTTTCAAAAACAAATACAATAAAAAGAAATAATTACCATTATTGAATCAATATAGTTTTTTTTTTGTAAATGATATACATAAAGAATTATACAAAATAAACTATCTGAATCATTAAAATAGAACTCATTTGTATGCTCCATGAATCCCTCAAATTTTCTTAAATTTAGAATCAAGTTCAGATTTGAACTCGAAAGATGTCCCACTTTTTTTTGAAATTTATTTAAATAACTTTTATATCATAAATTATAAGTTTTTTTTTTTTTGTTTTTTAAGCCAGCATAAATTATAAGTTGAAACTGTATTCAATGCTCTACACAATTTTTTTTTTATAAAAAATAAAAAATCATAAATAGTTTAAAAAATGTACCAAACTAGGTTTTAATTTCAAGTGCAAAGTGAAGTGTTGAAAGTAAAATCTGGAGTGGCATTAGTGGGCCTTTATGAATTTTTTGAATCCCCCAATTCTAACGGTCAAAGTGTGTCAAACCCTTAACGGTCGATTATCGAAAATCCTGGGGCCCAAAATTTTCCTCAAGTGCACGGGGCAACTAATGCGATATATATGGTATATCTGAGCTACATCATAGTCCATGTACTGCCAATACGATCACCGTAGACCAGCTGGTTTTCGTCGCCTCATCGGAGATGTTCAACTGAATCAACGGTCTAGATCAAGGACACTTTTCATAGTGTGTGAAGAATCTTAGCTTTATAAATGAGTACAAAGATAATCTTTTACTTTTACCCTCAAAAGAAGAACCATAGTTTAAAACAAGTAGTTAAGTACTCATCTCTACTTTTAAATTTGTCTTAATTGTAAATCTTATTGAGATTTAATAATTCAGAAGTCAAATTGGTATAAAATGATTGTGTGTGATTGATGTAGTAGTGAGCAGGGGCGTGTGCGGTGCGGTTCGGGGTGATTTGAGAGTAAAATTACAAATTGAATGGCGGTTAGTGGATTGGAAGATTGACAAATTACGATTTGGGCAATTTTTGACAGATTGGCGGATTGAAGAATATTTTAACTAATTATCATACATTTGCATAATATTTTTTAGATATATAACACAAAATAATTTTACATAATATGTTATATATATATAACTATTAATTTGTAATAAATTTTATATTTTAAATATTTTTCACACTCATTTTTACATTGATATTTCATTGAAAGTTAAAAAATATATATGTATTAACTTTAACGGAGCGGAGCGGTTCGATTGGCGGATTATAAATTTTAAAGTTTAAACCGCGGTTAGCGGTTAGAACGGTACGAATTAATACGAATCGGTGCGATTTTAACAGATTGAGTGATATTTTACACAGCCCTAACAGTGAGCTTGTGAGTGTCCTTCTGATCAAAAATAAATAAATAAATAAACTTAAAGACTTGTGAGTGTCCTCCACTATGATCAATCTATTTGAATCATGATTGAACTTGCTAGCTAGTTTATAACTGTTAGTAATGGGCGCCCATGGGGCATGACCATTAAATTTGAATTTGAATCCTTATCCAAATAGGTTTTGAATTTGAAATCAAACCTATTTAGGATAACCACTCAAGAAACAGATATTATCAGTTTTAAACTGATATGGATAGATATTATAATATAATATATATCTGTTATATGGTTATGGGTAATCTAAGAGAGAAACAACGTTGAGTCTGTTTTCTACCCATATTCTGACTCTCTCTCAAAAACACAACGATCAAGTCTTTGACACTGTGGTTGGTGTGGGTGATATTCAATCTGTGATATCACTCCACTGCTGGGTTGGTTCATCAAGAAGTTCCTTGGAAGCACGTGATTTATCCAAGAAGGTTCTATCATCAAGAAGGTATGATCCAATCATTTTTATTCCGCTGCATGTTTTGTGATCTTTGTTTTACAATAACTTTGGCAAATATTATAAAAGGTTTCGAAAAACTTATTTGAACCGAAATTGAAGTGAAATATAATATGAGAAATAAAGGTTTAAAAAAAATGTTAAATTTAATAAAAAAGTATATTAAATTGTTAAAAAATATCTTGTACTTTTATATTTTTGTCTTTTTCTCATCTAGCAAACTCTTGTGATAAAAGAAATGTGTATAGTCCAATTTAGAAGCAAACACAACCCTTTCACATAGATTGAGTTTCATCAAATGTATAGAAGCAAACACAACCCTTTCACATAGATTGAGTTTCATCAAATGTATGAATCACGCCTTATTGAGAGGGTTGTAATAAAATTTTGTATACATAGAAAAGTTTTGAAAAATAAATCTTGATATAAGCAGCATAAGAAGAAGATAATAAGTGGAGAAAATATTTTTTACTAAGAACTCGTTTGGCATTAGTTTTTTTAGTCAATTTTTTTGTATTGAGACTTTTTTAGTCTGGCTTTTTTAGCCTCAATTGATTTGGTTTTTTTGACTTTTATGAGTGAAAAAGTGTAATGATTATGAATAAAAAATAATATTTTATCTTATTGACTTATATAGCTTATTTTGTTTTTTTTGTACTTTTTTAGTCTCAAAATCTTAACCAAAGGAGAGCCAATTTCATGTATTTAATTTTTTTTTTATGGTTATTCCTGTTGGAAATGGTTGGAAAATTCTAGGCAAAATCAGAATTTTTTTCTAACTTTGGTCTATTATTTAGGTGGGACCCGAGCGTCAAATTTGGCAGGTCTAAGTGGTAACACGTTCTATGCCGCGTTGTGATTCACGTGGTATATTTGGTTGCTCAAAACCATTATCGAGTGAATGGAAAATTGAAACCAAAGTGTGCTCCATGGAAATGAAGTTATGGTGGAAATTTCTTAAGGTTTGTGTAAATGGCTTGTCCCACATTGATTTGATGGGAAGTTTTGAATGGGTTTATATAGCTTGGACTTATAATTTGGGGAGGGCCCCAATGGGTACCCAAAGTTTGTAGAAAGGAGAGGTTATGGGTTAGACCCATTGGACCTAAAAATCACCATGTGCGTACCGCCACTGCCATCCGTCCGGTCGGTCCGGCGGACTGAGCTGGGCACGGGCGCGGGTGTGAGGTTGGGCTTGTCTAGCCTAATATTTTTCGGTAAAATTAATTCCAAAAATAAACTAGTCCGGTTTTACTGTACACCCAAATAGGTCCTTTCCATTTTTATTTGTTTAAATTTTGAACCCAACAGATTTAAATTTGTTTAATTCAAAACCAAACAGGTTTCATACCTGTTCAAACAGGTTGCATCTGTTTAATTCAAAATATGCAGCCACCAATACATCTATAAATAGACTAGTTCCCCATTTGGATTTCGACTCCAATTTTTGTCCATCTTTTGCTGCAAATCATCTCTGCATTTTGCTGCATTTATTCCATTATTTTTCTGTCAGAAAGAGGTATAAACACTTAGTGTGTTCGTTGAACAAATAAATTGTACTACTGCCTTTATTTGTTGTTGATCATTTCATCATGGGAGATAGACGCCAATATTTTGAAAGCACCGAGGAGAGAACGAATCTGTCTTAAGGACACAGTGTCAAACACTAAACTTGATCAGATTATTATTCGAAGAAATTAATCAAGTAAGTTGTTTAATTTATTATTCTGTTTTATTTGTTTATTAAATCAGATTTTAATTTTGGTTTTGTAGCAAAATAAAATATGTTTTTATTTATTTAATTTTATTTCTAATTTGATTTTTGTAATCAAATAATTTTCTCTCATTTCCTTTTTTTCTTTGATATTTTGTTTGTTGTTAAGTACACAAACAAAATTAATTAATTACAGTGAAGATTGTCTAACAATCTTAAGACAGAACCTTTTTGGTGTCTTCATTGTATTTAATTTTCTGTGATTTCATAAAGACATATTCTGGTTGGAAAAACAAATAGTGGTTTATGCTATTTGACAGATAATAGTAATATACTGTCTATTTTCTTTGACAACTAGTAATAATATACTGGTGTCATTAACAATTGTAGAATATTAATTTGTGTTACAGAAAATTATTGTGGTATTTTATTTTTCTAGTTTTAGTAACCAGGAAAATAAAATTATTTTGTGTTATAATTTATTTTCTGATTTTAGTAACTAGAAAATTAATTTGTGTTTTAATTTTTTCTGATTTTTGTAATTAAAGATTATGGCTACTGCAACTGAAACTGCAACTGGCAGTGGTACTCCGATTGTTACACCATCTGGTCCCTATCTAGAACCATGTTCAAGTTCCTATAAATCATGGAGAAAAACCGGAAAAATTTAATGACACTGAGTTTAAGAGATGGTAACAGAAAATGCTGTGTGATCTTACAACTCTGAATCTTGCCCGGTTTCTTCGTGAAGAGGCTCTAGTACTTAGAGAGGATGAAAGTGATCAGCAAGTTGTTGCCACTGTAGACGCTTGGAAACATTCTGATTTTCTGTGCAGAAACTACTTCCTCAATGGCCTTAACAACATGCTGTATAATG